GGGCTTCTGCGACGAGCGCCTGGTGCCCTTCGAGCACGCCGAGAGCACGTACGGCCTCTACCGGGTGAGAGCTACGGGGGCCGCCGGGGGCCACGCTCAGAGGGCCCCACCCATTGCCTGAACCCGGCTACGGGGGCCAACGGGGGTCATTTCGAGAAGGCCGCGCCCGCCGCCTGAACCTGGCTACGGGGGTCATGCAGGGTCACACCATGCTCTCTGCCTCTATCTGGACTGGAACTGGGAATGGTCGCTGGGTTCCCTGCGGTCCCATCTAGGCTACACGTCCGGGTGGACCAGTGGGGCTTTGTAGCTCCTCTTGATCCTTTATCCGGTAGCCAGGAAGAGGGAGTGGCATTGGCCAAGACGTGGAGTTGAAACGGGGTGGCCCATTCCAGGTCCTAGAGAAGTTCAGGCGCCACAGCCTCGTAGCATGAAAAGGCAGAGTTAGGGAAGAGCCAGGCACGAGGGATCAGGTGTGGAAACGGCTTCAGTTTCCCCATTCCAACCTGGACGAGTTCTCAGTTGTCTCCATGCAGCTTGCGCGCTGATGACTTGGAGGCTGGTTATCTTTAGCCTGGGGCCCAGACTCCTATAGAATCAGAGAAACACTCCCCATTTTACAAAAAGGGAAACTGAAGTTTGGAGGAGATGTGGCCTGCCTTGACACCCCCGCCCCCGCCGTCTCCTACCCCCTGGGCTGCATCTGAATCAACTCTTCCTACCCCAAGGAGAAAAACCCACCCAGGGATGTGTGGGAGGGGTGGGTTTGGCCAGCTGCCTCAGCTCACTCAGGTCCTGGGTGTGCTGAATTCTCTTGAGCGGTAATTTTCTGTTGTTGTGGGGGTTTTTGTTTGTTTTTGTAATAAGCAGGAAGATTTACTGATTACCAAGTGCTTTATCCGTATCATCTCATGACACTCCACAATAGCCTATGAGGTGGGGGTTGTTAGTACCTCCATTTCATAGATAGAAAAACTGAGGCCATAGTATCTCCATCTCCATAGATGGAGAAGAGGAGAGTCACCCAGTGACCAATGAGGGAGCTGGAGTGTGAGCCTCCTGGCCCAAGCCTCCCCAGACAGCACCTGGGACACAGCTCAGGAAAGGGGCCCTGTTAAAGTCTGTTTTCCTGTGTATATTCCTCCAGAGCTTAATTAAAAAGTGAGTTCTTGTTTGTTTTTACTGTGCATGACTTTTTGATTTGTTTTAATTAGGAAAACTATTTTGCTCAAGTAACAAAATTCTAATGAAACAGTAAAAGAGAAAGTACAGATATTCATTGTGTCCAATTTCCAGCACTAGGGACAGTTCACTCCCAGGACTCACTGCGGGGCAGGAGGCAGGGGCACCAACACACAGGGCAGTAAATAAGGGAAATCCACTCAGAGCCATAACATAATGCAGCGCAGACAAAAGAGAATAGTATAAGATGGTAGTAAGTGCCAAGGAAGAGGTAGTGGGCATCCATCAGCCTGGGTGGTGGGCAGCGAGGGGCTCTGAGGAGGTGACGTTTGAGCTGAGCCCTGGAGGATGTGACAAGCTGCTCATAGGTGAGCTGGGGTAGAGGGGATGGAAAAAGATGGTGGGAACCACTGAGGAGTGAGGATTTACTCCTGCCAGTTCCCCCATGAGGGGAACCATCTTCGTTCCCTGGGGTTGCCATAACAAAGTACCACAAACTGGGGGCTTAAAACAACAGAAATTGATTCTCTCATGGTTCTGGAGGCCAGAAGTCTGCAATCAAGGTGTCAGCAGGGCTGTGTACTCACCCTCCAAAGGCTCAGTGGGAGGATGCTTCCTTTCTCCTTCCAGCTTCTGGTGGTTCCAGGCGTTTCTTGGCTTGTGGCCACATCACCACAATCTCTGCCTCCATCTCTACATCACCTTCTCTGATTCTCTTTGTGTCCTCTGTTCTTATAAGGATGCCAGTCATTGGATTTAGGGCACATCTTAAAGCACAGTGACCTTGTCTTAAGCTATGACATCTGCAAAGACCCTCTTTCTAAATAAGGTCACATTGAGAGGTTCTGGGTAGAAATGAATTTGGGGGGGCCACTAAGCAACCTGGTAAGGGATGCGAAGGCATTCCCTTTCTTGAGGGTGGACCCTGTGCACCTTGGGGCTCTCTAAACCTGAATGGTTCAATCTGCGCCATGGGCCTTCTGCTGTCCAGACTAGAAGGGTTAGCTGGGGCTACCTTTCTGGGGATGTTTACCGTGAACTTGCCTGATCAGCCAGCAGTTTCACTTCTAGGAACCTGCCCAACTGATGACACCCAGCCTTGAGCACCCTGGAAGCCCATCCTGAGGAAGAGGGAAAAGCTCTGAGCCTGCAGGGGAAGGGCAGCTAAGGTGGGGCGTCAGGTGACAGAAACGGGGCACTGATGCTCCCTCCTGGCTTTGTGGTATAGTCCTCAAGGGTGTGTGTAGATGGAAACTTTGGTCAGAGCAGATCTTTCCAACAATGGATCTGATCCTCTCCAGCTCACACACCCACCTTGGCTCCCCATCACCCTCAATCCAGAACCCACACTCCTCAGGCCAGCATTTGGTGGGGGCTCAGCCCCATGAGATCTGGTGGGTTAACCCATGTTCATGCCATCTCTCCTCTCTGCTCCAAACACACTCTATTTTTGCTGTTTCCCTGCTTTCACTTTGCGGATCAGCTCAGCATTGCCTTTGCAAAGCTAGTTCCTGTCTCAGAGGAGGTACCAAGGTGAAGGTTGCCAGTGTCCATCCCAGAGCAGATCAGAGGCCCTGGGGCTCATCACTGTGGGAGAGGGCTAGAGTCCTCTGCCTTGCAGGAGGCCTGACTCCCTAGTGCTTCTGCGTTAACCCCGCTGATCGGAGGCTGGGGCGCCAGCTATGTGCTGGGCAGGCTCACCCTGTAGAGGCAACCCAGAAGAGAAATCGCTGCTTATCACGTTACATGCAGGGTACACAGTTACCAAGCAGGAGCATAGGGGAGGCATAGGCAGGGCTGGCTGCTTAGGCAGCCTAAGGGGTGTGTAGAATTTCCCAGGCAAGGGCGGCAGCTTGTATACCTGGTTGGGGCAGGAAGGTCAACGGGGCTTTGTGGAGGGCAGTGAGGGGCCAGGTTTTATTCTGAAGGCGCAGAGGACCCTGGGGGTTTAGAAACAGGGCAGTGGTGTGGCCAGACAGGTGCAGGCTGGGGCCGGGAGTCTCCCAATCAAGATGGACTTCAGAGACCCCTGGTGGAATGCCACTGAGAGCCACCAGGATCCCAACTCATACAGGAAGTGGGTTGTAATGACAGTCATGTCCTCATGTGGAGGTCATGCTGCATGCCCCCTGCCCGCCACAAACTGTGTTTCTGTTGGTGACCCTGTGCCTCTGTCTGCCGTAGACCCACCTGCTCTCCAGGCTGCCTATCCCTGACAGCCAGGTTATCACCATTAACCCCGAGCTGCCCGTGGAGGAGGCGGCTGAGGATTATGCCAAAAAACTGAGACAGGTGAGTCCCTAGAAGCAGCTTCAGGGAGACCTCATCTACCCAGTGGCCACTCGCAGGGGGACAGAGCAGCCCTGCCAGTGGCACTGAGTGATTGTTGCTGGCAGAAACTCCCCCTAGGGACAAATGGCAGACCTCTTGGAGGATCCCCCTTCTGAGAAGCCACAGCCCTGCTCGTGCGGGCCCCAAGTGCAGCCTGGCCTCTGACACCCTGCTAGTGGGCCTAGGTCTTCATATCTTGGCAACAATTGGGGACAACATCTCAGGACTGTCTTCTTTCCCCAATCAGGCCTTTCAAGGGGATTCCATCCCAGTTTTTGACCTGTTGATTCTGGGTGTGGGTCCTGATGGCCACACCTGCTCACTCTTCCCAGACCACCCTCTCCTGCAGGTAAGCACACCCACGAGGGCCCTGCTTGTGCCCAAGCTTCAACCTCTACCATCTGGGGCTTCTGGAGGGCTGGAGTGTTGGCAGAGTCAGCCTCTGCCAAGAGGCAGACCTGCTGGGCTTAACTCTTCTGAGCCTCAGTTCACCCATCTTAAAACAGGGGCCTTAAATCAGGTACCACAAGATTAGCAGGGTGGCATGGAATGATGGATGGACGGTGCCTGGCATGTGAATACTCAAGAAGTCAAGTGCTGTCCTCCTGTCTCCATCTTGGGCCTCCCTCCCCCAGGAGCAAGAGAAGATTGTGGCCCCCATCAGTGACTCCCCAAAGCCCCCTCCTCAGCGCGTGACCCTCACACTTCCTGTGCTGAACGCAGCTCGAACTGTCATCTTTGTAGCAACTGGAGAAGGAAAGGCAGCTATTCTGAAGGTAACAGCCGAGGGCCCCCTTCCCAAAAAGGTTGTGGGCATAGAATATGGCCTCAGACACTATTGTGCTGAAAACACCAGATCCCAAGATACTTCAGTAATCCTTGGGTTGAAGGGAAGATGAAAACTGCTGACTAGTTAAGTGTTAACAATTATGAGGTGAAATTGAGATGAGGCCAAAGCTGTGTTCAGAGGTAAGTTCAAGGCACTTAATGTGCACATGTGTGTGCACATGCACATATACTTAATTATTAAATAGGAAAGAATTGAAATAAACAAATCAAGCACTTAAGAATTAGAAAAAGGAACAATAACATAAGTCTAAGAAGAATCAGCAGAAGGAACAAGTGAAATTCAAATCAGAAGTCGATGAATTGGTTAATATTCTTAAGAGCTTAATGGTAAATAGATCCAAAACAAAGATAGACCTCTGGCATCATGCAGAATTCAGATTTCAGTGTCCATGAGTAAAGATTAGTTGGGACCCAGACACACCCATTTGCTAATGAGTCATCTGCTGCTGCTTTTGACCTGTAACAGCAGATCTGAGTAGCTGGGACAGATGAGGTGTCATCGGCAGAGCCGAAATAGTGACCCTGGTCTTTGCAGAGAAGGCACGCTGACCCCAGTATGAAGCAGTCACAGGTGACAGAAAGAAAAGGACCCTATCCCTCCTGATTGCTGGATGCTAGGACACGTGGGAAGGGCTACATCACCTCTTGTGGGGTATGAGATCTCCAAGGGGCGCCGAGGGTGTGGGACCCTATGCTTCTGCCCTTTCCATACAGCGCATCTTGGAGGACAAGGAGGAGAAACCACTCCCGGCTGCCCTGGTCCAGCCCAGCACAGGAAAACTTTGCTGGTTCCTGGATGAGGCAGCGGCCCGACTCCTGACTGTGCCCTTCGAGAAACATTCCACTTTGTAGCCGGCACCAGAGATGTTACAGCTGGGACCACACACAGCTTAAGTGGGCTGTGACCTTCTGGGGCTGGGCCCCGCTGCCAACATGCTCCGGGCTTCATTTTACAAAAGCCGGGCGGTGCCACTGGAAGCCGATGGGATCTGCCACCAGCCCTGCCCCGGGGGCTTGGCCCGTGAGCAGTGGCTCTGGCCGACTCAGTTATTAAAAGGAGTATTTGTTTGAAAAATTCCCCACTGTCTCATGGTCCTTGGTGGGCAGCGGGACCCTGGGTACCCGGGTGGAGCGCCTGACCTGCATCCCTCATCCCAGCACGTGGAGGGCAGGGGCGGGCACCCCAGATGCGTTTCCTGAGGCTGCCACAGCAAAGCACCACAAACCGGGTAGCTTAAAACAACTGAAATTTATCTCACAGTTCACAAAAGTCTGAAATCAAGGTGTTGACAGGGTTGGATTCTTCAGGACTCTGCAAGAGAATCTGTCCCAGGCTCCTCTCCTGGCCTCTGGTAGGCCGGCAATTCTTGGCCTTTCTTGGCTGGTAGACACTTCACTCCAATCTCTGCCTCTGTTGTCACATGGCCTTCCCCCTGCGTGTGTCTCTCTGGGTCCTTTCCTATTCTAATAAGGACACCTGTCATTGGATATGGAACCACCCTAAATCCAGGATGAGCTCATCTCAGGATCCTTAACTAATTATGTCTGTAAAGACGCTTATTCCAAATCAGCTCACGTTCTGAAGTTCCAAGGGTTAGGATGTAGATGTATCCTTTTTTAAAAAAAGTGTTAAAATACACATAACTTAAAATTTACCCTCTTAACCATTTTTAAGTATACAGTTCAGTGGTAACTCAATACATTCACATTTTTAAGCAGCCATCACCACCATCCATCCCCATAACTCTTTTCATCTTGTAAATCTGAAATTCTGTATCTATTAAACACAACTTCCCGTTCTCCCGTCCTCCCGGCCCTGGCAACCACCATTCTGTCTTTATGAATCTTGACTCCTCTGAAGTGCCTCGTATAATTGGATCATAGGGTATTTGGCTTTTTGAGACGGGCTTGTTTCACTCAGTGTGATGCTCTCAAGGTTCACCCATGGTGCAGCAGGTGTGAATTTCCTTCCTTTTTAACATAAGCAGATACCACATTGTGTTTTTCCATTCATCGATCAATGGACACTTGGGTTGCTTCTGTGTTCTAGCTCTTGTGAACAATGCTGCTGTGAACACGTGTACAAATAACTCTTTGAGAGCCTGTTTCAGTTCTTTTGGATTTACATACAGAAGGGGAATTGCTGGGTCATATGCATATGGTAATTCTATTTTTAATTTCTGGAGGCACCTCCACACTGTTCTCCACAGCAGTTGTATCATTTTACATTCCCACCAACCCAACAGCGCACAAGGGTTCCAATGTCTCCACATCCTCACTCACACTTGTTGTTTTCTGTTTTTTGGAGTGGCCTGTTTACGTACCCTTTGGGGGGACACAGTTCAACCCCTCACACTCACTTGGCCGAGCTCCCGCTGCACACACAGGGCCAGTCCTTACCTCTACATTTGGCCGTGCTGCAGGCCTGCTCAGAGCCTTGAATGCCCCAAGATGCTGCTTCTTTGTGTCAAAGCTGCAGCCTTTGCCCAGAGCATGTCTGCTCGTGGCCCACCTGTTAACTTTGCCTGGCTCCAGGGACCTTGGCGGGGGAGGCTGGTGGGCGAGGGAGGTGGGAATTGAAACCTCAAAGCCGAAACCACAGAAAGGGAAGTTTCCTTCAACGTCTTGTCCGGGTTGATTACCCAGATGTGAGAGGGAGGAAGTGGTATAGGACCTGAGTGGAAACAGACTGAGAAAAGCAGAGGAGAGGGTTGGAAGGAAATCAGCCCAGGTTGGGCAGCAGCAGGTGGCTGTGACCCCCAAAGCCACTGGCTGAGGCCAAGGCAGGGGGGCTGAGAAGTGAAGGGTAAGTGATAAGATAGGTACAGGTACCCCGTGTTGGGGGTCTTGCCTGGGCTACCTTTGAACCTAACGTTTGCTCCTCATTCACTCCCCTCCAATCCACCTGCCTGTGCTCTTCCTGGAATCCACCAACCCCATCCCCACCCCAGGGCCTTTGTATATGCTGTGCCTACTGCCCAGTATTCTCTTTCTTCCAGCTTTTTGCATGTCTTGGCCCTTTCTTCCTTCAGGTCTTGGTGCAACATAATCTCCCTGATCCCTCCTCACCCCTTGTATTTTCTATTTCTTCTTACTCCATTTTTCTCCCTTTCCCTTATTATCTGACAGTTTTGTTATTGTGCTCGCCAGTGGAGCATGGGAGCTGGACTGTGGTCTGTTTTGCCTACATCTGCATCCCCAGTGGTTAGCTCAGGGCTGGCACATGGCATGGTATGGAGACTTGTTGAAAGCAGAAATGAATCCTGGTGCATTGGTGAGGATTACAGTCAGATGTTCCTGGTGATTTAAACAGAGTGGAGGTCTAGCTCTTTCTCTGGAGGGAGGCCCCCCAGAACTGGTGAAGCAATGTCATGAGATCTTTGGGGAACCCCTCAAGTGACATCATAGTTGATTCATTGTCAAGTGAGTTTAACCTCATGCTCCAAAGTGACTGCTTGTGCTCCAGCCATTATGTCCATGTTCTGCCCACTTGAACTTGACACTCCCCTCATTTGAAAGCCTGTGAAACATTTGATCACATTTCAGCCTGAAGTGAAGACCAACCTTCTTCCCTTCCTGCTTGCCTTCCCTCCTGATTTCCTGCCTTCCCACTCTCCCTCGCTTCCTTCTTTCCTTTGCCAAACACTGATGGCTGCTTTGTGCCAAACACTGGAAAAACAGGTGAAGAGGTAGGGAGACCCAACTAATCAGACCCAGTCCAGTGCTATATGTGCTGATAGAGGACAGACTGGTAAAAGCAGAAACAGAAGGGACATGCCCCAGCAGTCCAGGGCACAGCAAAGGCTCCCCACCAGCTCCCCCTGCCCCAACACTGAACCCTGGGACCAGGTTTGTCTGTCTAGTTCTATCTTCCCAACCTGGGGCTGAGCCAGGGCTGGATCGGCTTAGGACCCAGAATTGCCCAGCATGGAGTGGGTACAGTGAGGGTGGGGGTAGGTACATCCCTGTCCACTCTGCCCCCACACACTAACAACTACTCGCAGGTCCTGCCAGATATCTGCCCTCCGCCTCCAAGGCCAGCTAGGACTTTTGTCTTCTACCTCCACTCCCGGGACAGCCCCTACAGAAACCACCAGCTCTGGGGGACTTGGCCCCAGGGGAACCAGGAGGACACAGGTGCAGGGTGGGTGGAGCAGGGCAGGGCGAGAAGCAGGCATCCCACACCCACACCAGGACCAGACTCTGGCTTCTGACCCCAGACAGCTGGCCTCCACAGCAGCCAGGTCCCTCACAGGCCACCCTGCTCCCAGGGTGCCCCTGAGCTGAGGAGCCTTAGGGGGTTGTGTGGAGGGGAGGGGTGTTTGCTTCACTCTCAAGGGAGTGCAGAAGACAGCAGCAGAATGGGCGGGCAGCCCTCCAGCCCCCTGGACAAGCGGCAGCAGCAGCACCTGAGGGGTGAGTGGAGTGGGAAGGGACCGGAATTTGGCAGGTAAGGTTCAGGGCTGGGTTGTCAGGTACACAGGATGCCCTATTAATGTGAATTTCAGATAAGCAATGAATATTTTTAGTATAAGTGTGTCCCAAATTTTGCATGAGGGCATACTTATGCTAAAAAAAGTATTCCTTATTTACCTGAAATTCAAATTTCATTGGTGTTGTGTACCTTTATTTGGTAAATCTGGTAACCCTACTCAGGGCATGGGTTCGGGGTGGAGGGCATGGGGCCAGGTAGGAAGTGCCCCAAGCCCAGCCAGATCTTCCCAGGTGGGCAGGGACCAATAGGCCCCTCTGTGTGAACCCCTGGATCGAGTCACAATTCCTGATTTGAGTCAAAGAAGAGCCAGTGTCCTCCATCCTCCGTATACACAGTTGAGCACTTACTGTGTTCTGGGCACTGAGGATATGGTGGGCTCATGACTTAGACCAGAAACAAGGTCAAGTTATCATTATACAAATAGATTCAATAAGAAACTGCAAAGTGTTGAATTATTTTTCCTGTAGTGGTTTAAACAAGATAAAGACGTATTGCTCTCTCCTGTAGAGGGGTACAGTGGCAGGCAGGCTGATAAAAGTGAGGCAACCCACTTCCTTCCATCTTATGATTTCTACCATGCATGGCTTCTGTGCCTGAGGTCACTTCATGACACAGAATGACTGCTGGAGTTCCAGTCATCGGGTCCACATTCTAAGCAGCAAGATAGATGTATATTAACATATAGGCAAGTGCACACATCTTCGGGGAACAACCTGAAGAACTTAAACACTTGTGTAATCATCTAGATCAGGATACAGAGCACTTGCATCACCTCAGAAAGTTCCTTTGTGCCGGGTGAAGCTTTTAAAAGATTTTGAAAATCAACCCAGGTAAGGGCCACAAGGAAACTTTCGACTGTAATGGATCTGTTCTTTTTCTTGATTGTGTTGATGATTTTATGGGTGTGTGCATGTGTCAGACTTATTAAATTCTATGCTTTATACGATTAAGGTGTGCTGGACATCTGTTATAAATTAAACCTGAGTCCTTTACCTTCAGGGACTCCCAACCACTATGTGGATGGAAACAGGCTGTGGAGGATTAAGGGTAAATGGAATTGGAGCATGTCTTTTTTGGGCAGTTTTGGGGTGCAGGTAGGAGCCCACAGGTGGCTTCCTTGCTTGTTCTGCCCTCACCCTCTGGCAGGTTGGGAAAGCCTGATACAGCCATCTCTTGTCCCCCCATTCTCTTGTCCTTGCAGGCCAAGTGGACATCCTGCTGAGGAACTTCCTGCCCTGCTACCGCGGGCAGCTGGCAGCCTCTGTCCTGCGGAAGATCTCGATAGAGCTGGGCCCTCAGGAGCCGGTGGGATGTCAGCTGCTGCACAGCAAAGTGGGTGCTGCGATGGGGGAGGGGGTGCTGAGTGGGTGAGTTTGGGGAGGCCGTGTGTTCGTTCAAGGGGCCCTCCTCTCACATTTGCCCTCACTGATGCCACGACCTGGGGTGACTATTAAAAATTCGTTCTTTGAATAGACGTTAGCTGGGCATCTACTGCGTGCCATATCGCAGGGCAGGATGCTGGGGACACAGTAGTGACTGAGACAGATCCTGCTCTGCCCTGCGGGGCTCACTGTCTAATTGGA